GTGTGTGAGCATAGAAGCCCGGGGGAAGGACATGGATATGTTGGGCAGGCGGTAACAGATGTGAGGATGAGGAACAAACTGGTAACCCTCTGAATCAAAGCCTCCTGCTCGCTCAGCGATGAGCTGGTGTAGCCAGAGGACCTTTAGCCTTTGTCTCATCTCTCATGGTCCACCACACAGTGCTTCAGTGCTCCCGCATTATTCAGTGCATGAGTTTTCACAGTTAATTGTATATTTTGCAAGGCACTAAAGTAAAAAGACACAGTAAAAACATAACTATGTTCTTAATGTGATAGTGTTAAAATACTGGCATTAATCAGAATATGCCCTCTGTTTAATCTAGTGCAGTGTACAGATCATATTCACTGATGGCCAATATCTGCCTGACAGCCTGTCAGTATGTAGGTGATTTGTTTAGCCAATACAGTATATCACAAAAATGTCCTCAGTTTATCAGATTGCTTCTTTTGTCCAACCAACAGTCCTAAAACAAATTATATTCTATTAACAATGTATTCTACTGCACTGGTTCCTAATGATCTTTCTAGTATTACCTGTTCAAACTAGCTGTTTTGAAATGTGATGGTCAGAAATTAGCGAAGGCACCATTTGAAACGGGTTTTAGTCGCCCTGAGATAAATTAAGGGCAAAAACAGGACAAGCAGATTGACCTGTTCTGCTTCCTTTTTCCATCTCCACCTCTCTTCACTGCTCTGACATTCAGTCAGTGTCTGTTACACTGAGGAGATATGCTGCCAGCAAGCTACAGATGCCTACTGGCATGCTGCCGCCTAATGAGCACTAACTCATGTTAATGAACACTAATGGGGATGAATTCCACTCTGAAGGAGAGGGAGGAATGAGAGGGGCAAATCCTTCTCTCCTCTTCCACCCTCAAACCAGATCCTCTCTGTGGTGTATCATTGTCTCCCCAGCTAGGAGACATTGAGGCAAGCAAAGCATTGATGTCATAGGAGCTGTTCATCATTTATGGGAGAGAGCATTAACATTCAAGGCAAGAGAAGCTCAGGCTAAACATTTCTACATCTGAAATATCAGCTGCTTTCATTTGGATAGTATAATTGTGCTTTAATTAATTTGAAGATAAGAGTGTAATGCCAAAGATTAAAGCTGCAATAACAAACTCCTCCCTCTAATTTTCAACCGTTAAGGACTTAAGTGAGAGACAAAAAAATCTCGAGCAGTATCCTTTCCTCTTCCCCCTTCACTCCTGCCTCTTCTCTGAAACTACATCAATTGTGGTCGTGACAGCCAGGGACGGTTGTGGCAGTCAGGTAGCGCAGCAGTACATTTTGGCCCATTTCATGTTGTATATGCATTATAGAGCCCATTACAGCCGGTGGTTTTCGGTGGCATTGCAACAACACAATGTCAAATAAAGAGGTTTACATTTTGGCGATATTATTATTATTATAATAATTATACAGAGAATTTTTTTCCCCCAGTAATGTTAATACAGTACTAATGTTCCACCACTATCTCATCATGTTCGATGTTACATTACCAGTACACACATGCGTAACTGAGTTGTATGTGAAATGAGAAATTTCATGTTACACTTTTTTCTAGTTGCGTTGATGGCATAAAATTTAACAACGTCTCACTAAAATGCTACCTGGACCACTGTGTTATATTCCGACATAAACTGGACCAAAACTGAGCAAAAATTAGCAAAATGACTTTATTTGCTAACACGCATGTTTTTACTAATTGGACAAGTAAATATTAATGTTGCATTCAGTTGGAAATGACTCCAAATTACAACCAGAATAATTCAATACAAAGGTACAAAACTGAAAAGCTAATGCTAGTTTGCTAATGATGCCAACATATACACCAGCCGCAGTACTTGGGCATCTAGATGGAACAAAGCCACATTTATGTCAAATTTTAACCTTGGGATGCTTTTAATGCTCTCCATCTCCAACCTGTCAAACCGATGTTACATCTGGTTTTGCCTCACCTTTTCTGCGCTACGGAACGCAGCCTTTTGGGTTTTACAGGTCCACTCCCACTCTGGGTTGTACCTGCACAGGGAGCCTCCACAGTCTGTCTTTGAAATGAGCCATACTGGTTTGAAAAACACATCTTAAAACCTCGTATCAGGGGGTGCGTGGAAGATTTTAACAACACTGGCCACAGAGGGCAAGAAATAAACACAGGACCTCAAGATAGCAGAGTCGGGTAGGGGGGTTAGTGCAGCAGGGAGACCGCGCTTCCAGACAATTTTTTTTAACTTGATTTATCTGAATGTGTGTGTTGCAGCAGGTTAACACGCTGAGTCCACTCGAGTTGCAGTGTTAACACAAAAACTTTTATTTTTCTCTCTTACTCGTTCAAAATAAAACCATCATCGGCTCTTCTCCTGCCCTCCTCACTCCTGACTACTGCCCAAAACAAACAAACAAAAAAAACTATATACCGGAACAAGGAGGTGTGTCCCAGCACTTTCATGGCACCTCCGGATATTGCATTGAGAGGCGTTCAGGAGTGGCCAGTATCTTATCGCATTTAACTTTGAACTTGCATAAAAAATATAATAAATGAAAAAGAAAATAAACATTTGATTTGATTTGATTTATTCTTTCAAGCATGTAGAAACAGTTGATATGACAGCACACGTAATTTTACACATAATCCAATATCAATTTGCTTATACCTAGTACATGCTTGAATGGAGTAGGAAGAAGTCAGACCTATCCAGTCCTACCCCATGACATCATCTTACCATCATTGGTTTGCAAGCAGTAAATGATTCACTTCTACCACACAAGTATTATACTAAAAAAGATTATACAGTGTTAACATTCTTACATAATTACATTCTTTCTACACCACAAAAGTAATATACAAAAAAATTATTACAAAGTGTACACCACACCCACAATTGTCCATGTAATTAATCATATATTCTTGCGTATATCTTGATTGACACATACCTTTTATATTTATGTTTAAACTCATCAATTCTATTACTATTTTTTTATTCTACACTTAAATTATTCCATAGTTTTACCCCACTTATGGAAATACAAAATCTTTTTTTGGTTGTACATATAGCATGAATTTTTAAATTTAACTGACCCCTTAAATTGTATCCCCCTTCCCTTTCATTAAATAGTTTTTGAATTCCACCAGGTAATAAATTGTTCCTGGCTTTATACAAAAACACAGCAGTCTTATATCCCACTAAATCAAAAAATTGTAACAATTTAGACTGTATGAAAGCTACATTGGTGTGATCCCTATACCCCATCTTATGCACAATTCTTATCGCTCTTTTTTGTAATATATACAATGGTTGAAGTGAACTTATGTATGTATTTCCCCAGTTTTCAACGCCATACTCTAAGTATGGTAAAATCAATGAAGAATACAAAACGTGTAGTGCTTTCCCGTCCAAAATATATCTAACCCTTGCCAATATCAATATATTTTTTGCTATTTTATGCTGAATATATCTGATATGAGATTTCCAGAAGAATTTGTCATCAACTATGACACCTAGAAATTTAATTTCATATACTCGTTCGATATTAGCTCCCCCAATTTTCAATTGAAGTTCATTATCTAGTCTACGATTCCCAAATACCATAAATTTAGTTTTATCCAAATTCAGAGATACTATATTACT